AGAACTCATTCTGAAATCCTAAACAGACAGGACACTTGGATATTTCAATTGTTCTTAGAGATGTGGTATGTTATTGTGCGTTTTTTACTTTGGTTTTTTGTCGTTGCGTAGAATTTTTTCACAAATAACGTGTTGAATAGAGAACAGTCAACAATCAAAATTAAACCGAAGTTTTAAAGTAACTTAAATACGTTTTTGTATTCTCATTCTTTATCATTTCTATATGATTTCAACTGTCAAGTGCAATAGGTCCATTTTATTAATAAAATTTAACTTTGATTGTTGACTGTTCTCTATTCAACACGTTATTTGTGAAAAAATTCTGAGCAACGACAAAAAACCAAAGTAAAAAACTCACAATAACATACCACATCTCTAAGAGTAATTGAAATATCCATGTGTCCTGTCTGTTTAGGATTTCAGAATGAGTTCTGAGTCTCGTTTTCTAGATGTTGATGCACGTCCACGAAATGTGTGTAATCTGCCCGACGATTGTCATAGTTTACCTCCGATGCCTAAGGTATAGATATTTAGCCTAGGGCCCCGCTAATTCAAAGTTTTAATGGATTCGCTTTTCAATAAAATACACATATTCTGACTCACCTTTTCACGCTATCCCAAATATCACCTTACTTTTTCGACTAGCCGGGGTGTTCATGGAGAAAAACGCAAAATACTGAGAAGCGCTTAAAAATCGAAAAAGATTGCAAAAAAATGGTCGTATCTCCATTTCATTTTTCGCACTCGCCGATGTGATATTCGGATTCCTTGCCTGAAAATGGTTACAGTCATGTGGTCTTAAAATAGAAACTTTGTTCTTTTCTATAAACAGAAATAAAGTTCTATACAAACATATAAGAAAAATATATGAGACGTAGGAAATGATAAATAACAAATATTGATCATTTACCATTATCGATAATAACTTATGAATTCCCCAAAAAATTGGCCTTACTTTATGTAACAATATGTGATCTGTTTAAAAATACATCTGATTAGCTCGATTATATTTCGTTTACATAACTCTTAAGGGGAGGGGTTCCCCCACCCATTTTTTTTCAGTAGTTTGTGGAGGACACT